CGTTATAACCGTTCATTCATTACCACGTCAAAGGTATTCATTAAATTGACGAGCGCTTAAAACTAACCACGACTTCTGCTAAATGTTAATAGCCAAAGTTATAGTTGTATGTAACATTTATACTTTATGACTTTTTAAGGTCAATCTCTAATGAACAAGGTTTGCATCTAAATTTAAAGGTTAGTATGTATGTATGTAGGTATATGTGTGTTTTAAGTATGCCTGTGTGTAAGTATATATGCATACATATATATTATTACGCTTATATTCTATTGCGGTAGGTATACAATATGCACCTCCTTTTAGTGCGTTCCTTGCGTTAGAGTCTCCTGTAATTCGTAGTGAAATTTTAAATAAAATATATAAATATATTGACTAATAATTCCGTCTGGTATGCAATTTTAATATAAGGGCGTAATATTTTATTTAAAATTTCACTACGAACATGCATCATGGTCTACTTACATATATTATTTCTTATCGATGAATTATCCGTTTTGTATCTGTACTGAACAAAGCACAGGTAGTCATAGATATGACTTCAAAGTGATCGATAACAGATGAAAGGGCGCCGCCGTTTGATAATACAAAATCTAAAGTACCGACAGTTACGGTAGCCGGTATAAAACGTAATATTTTTACTGGAAACGGTTTGATGTTGCCGAAATGATAATGCTAAAAATACCTTTGAAAGTACAGTTTGATATTGATTTTTTCAGTTGACAGGATTGAGTGGTGGATTTCCTTCTGTACTATTGACGTTTTTTTATAAATTTTTTGTTGATTTATCTGGCGTATAACCTTGTGTAAAAAGATACAGAAGCAAGCAAAGAAAGTAATGCTAAAAATCTAATGCTTTAGAGAGAACTAATAATAATACATTACTTGACATATCTGTAATGTATTCTGTGACATGCAGATTAGTTACATTTTTTTTTATGATACGAAGTGACGGGACGAACACGTCTCGTTTGCCTGGTGGTAAACGACACTCACGACCTATAAATCACAAATATCTGAGGGGCACTGCCACTGCGCTCGTCGTGGTATCCTGAGACATAAACAGACAAGTTTCACGTGCCTGAAATTTCACCAGCACCCTGAACCCTTCAAAACCGAAACGCAGTAACGCTCATATTATAGCTTAGCGGCAGAAATAGGTAAGGTGGCAGTACTTCCCTGGACGAACTCCTTCAAAAGAGCTCTACTTCTCTAAAACCATAATGTTATTATTCAATTATCATTAATTAATTATCAATTATTGTTAAATTACCTGTATATTGCAATAACATGTAAATTAGCTTAGCATGGTCTTCTACACAGACATTTTAGGGCCAACCACCAGCCATTTTAAATCCTGTCGATTTTTGTACGCAATAATCTACATCAATCACGCACCATTATCAGAATTAAGACAGTAATAAAAATAACAACCATGACCAGTCTATTGTGACAGCTGTTATCAAAGCAGGCGTCTATCAACAATATTTAGTGCTTTGGTCTAAGTCAGAAGCATACCTATCACATGAAATAAACTGTATGTGGTGATATTACAGGCACATGGAACTTGTTAACTTAAGTCTCAAGTTGACGGGCACAATGGCAGTGTCTCTAAGATCTATGAGATTAAAAGCTCTGAGTGGTACTGCAGCTGTTATGGACAGGCGTGTCGCTTACCGCCAGGCGTACGACTTGTTCGTCCCATCGCTTGGTATTATAAAAAAAAAACACGAGGCGGTGGAGATGAATGGACAGAAGTAGGTAAGATCGCTTTTTGAAGAAGTAAGTGAGCTCCTAAAAAGTTAGAACTAGACCATTGGCCGAATCCAGACTATTGGCCGCGAAGCATTCACTGCTCAAACTAATGTTGCTTATCTAAAATGTCGGTATCCGGTATGAAATTTGGTTTAATTAATTATTGATACAAAACTCTAAAAAATACAAAGAAAAATTCATTTGACCCGACTGGACTCGAACCAGCGACTGTTGATTCAATATGGCTACTACTCTGCCAACTGAGCTAAGGATCAATTTTTTTTATTTTGTATGCATGTTACGCGATTACTCCAGCGTTTGTGAACCGGTTTCGGCCACTTTCCGGTAACCGATTTCAATAAAAACTTTACAAATAGATGTAATTCCACGTACATTTGACATCGGCGTTTTTAGTACTCTATACTGAGATTATTTATTCATCTAAATATCATGGTAGCAGAATAATGGTATTTAAAAAAAATAAAACATTTCGTATAATTTTTTAAACATGCTCCAAACACAATAAATTACACGTTGTAAAGCGTTTATATGATATCATCGCGAAGAAATCCAACACTGAACCCGAATGTTGAGAACTACTTTCTAATTTGAGTGTTTCAGGGTCTCAGGGTGGAGTCACCATATGAAAAAGGTTACACGTATAACTAACTATATTATATTATCGAGCTCTTAGGTTTTCGCGATTGTTACACATAGGAAATGAAACTTCATTGAATGTGTAAGTTTGACAAACCCCAGGTCCTTGCAAAAGACGTCCTCAACACGTTATGTACCCACGATGCTGCGAGAGGCCATTGAAATTAAAAACATCCTAATTTCAACAGGGAAGATGGTTTCTCCGTACTCCAGTATTTCCTCTAATGAAAAATCCCAAACAGACATAAGACTGTATTACTAATTAATATGTTTTAATTTATTCTAATTTCTATGGTTTGCATCAATATTAGACATAACTGGTTGAAGACTGTACCACCTCAGTCAACCGTGACCATGGGCCCTGTAAAGGGCCCGAAACGTCGGTTTGTTTTTAAAAAAACAAATATACGCGATTTAAATCCGGAAAAATAGTTTCATTTCCTATATATTATATTAGATAAAGAGCTGTATCAGTCCTCTGTCCTTGTACTACACTTAGTCAGTTGACGCTTATGACTTAAGCCTAGATCACACTGAATGTTAGCTGCTAATGTGTCGGTGTTGTAATGTAATGGAGACTCGGTGTAATCAGCGAAGTATTATATTTAGAAGTGCTTTTCAGACGCGATATCAGCCGTTAAGGCTTGGTTTGCACTTCAAACAATCATGTTTGATACGCCGTCTGGTAAAAGTAAACATATATATTTGCATACTCTAACTCTCTTCTATCTTTATTTGGAATCACTATATGTAATTATGTTTCGTCTGTGAAAAACAATTTGTAAGCTTTTTCTGAGATATACAAATATGCGCTTTCATATGCATACTTTTAGTAGCAACAGAGCTCCTTGTGAAAGAGTACGTACAGGGAACTATTGGCACCTCATCCATTTCTGACGCCAAGCTATATTGTGACCATTATAGGGTGACGGCCGCGGTGGCAGCCCCTCAGATCTTTACGATTTAAAGCTCTGAGTGGCACTTCAACTGCTATGGACTGGTATGTCGCTTACCAACACGCGCACGACTTGTTCGTCCCGCTACTTGGTGTCATAAAAAAAAACCAATCAAGTAACTCACATTGCACCCTTACAGCGATTCTTATTCGTATTCGTTCGAACGGCCGAAGCAAGGACAGGTGGGGTTATAGCTCTGAGAGCGCCTGTATGTGTTTGTGGTGTTTCTCTCCAGACTATGGCATATCTTTTGTCTTGTCCTGCGTGCCCCTACACCTGCACACGCGAGAACCTGTACAACGCCATTGTGTCAGTCTCTGAGTACCCTGCCTCACAAATATAAACATCAGAGTCGGCACGCGAAGAAGAAGAAGAAGAATAGTATATAATAACTTAAGTTTTACTGGTAATAGGCAGTAATTACACCGTCAGTTTTTTATGGTATTCAAGCCGGTAAACAATCCGATTGTCCATCTAATGGAAAGTGGCTACCGCCGTGTATTAACATTTCGCACCCCTAGGCATATAAGGCAACATCTGCAAAATGATAACATTTTATCATCTATGTTTAAAGATTCCACAAAAGAAATTGGTTGATAAGTTTTTATGCTTAAATAGGAGCGGTATAAAATTTCACATTTACGTAGTTTGTTTTGTGTAGTTCGTATTATTTTTTTATGTGATAAAATCACTTTTGACGTATGATCGCATGAGGCTTTATATATACCAAGGGTATGATTTGCAACACTAAGAAGTAACCTCGATATCGAGAATACGTTACCTTTTTTTTTACCTGCCGTGCGACAACACATTTATGTCTAATTGCAATAAACTTACGTATGTTTTAAGCCAATGCTTAAATTGATAAGATATTTTTAACACAGTGTATTAAGAGCGTCGTTTGCATTACAAGCATTGATTTAAGACACTTAAGTTTAATGCAAGTGGACATAAGTCTCCTATGTTAATAATTGTGCTGGCAATCACGGAATGTAACAGTAATCTTAACAGTCGGTGTTGGTTGGTGCCACCTACCCAAGTGACACATGCACAGATAAATCGATCTTTTTTTATATACTACTAAGTGACGGGACGCACAGGTCGTGTGTCTGGTAGTAAGCGACACGCTTGTCCCAAATAGTTGCATAGCCACTCAGAGCTTTAAATCACAAAGATCTGACGGGCACTGCCACTGCGCCCTACACCCTGAGACATAAATTAACAAGTCCTATATGCCTGTAATTTCACCAGCACCCTTACCATTCGAAACTGGAACGCGGTAATGTTCACATTACCGCTTGGCGGCAGAAATAGGTAAGGTGGCAGTACTTCACTGGACTAACTCTTTCACAAGGAGCTGTATACTGCTACTAAAATCATACCAGTGACAATCATACCTGAGACGTAGTGATTACGTAAAAACAAATCATTACAGTGTAGGCTAGTAGAAAAGAATGTATCAATTTTATCAGCCTTATTGCCAATCTTAATTAACCCTGCTATTCGAGAGGTTAAACAAAATGGCAATAATTAGATACTTGTATGGTGAATTCCAGGCTTATCAGTGTGACGCTAATTCACAGTGACGGCACCTTTCACACCGTGATATAATTAAAAACAGGCATTATTTTGGAAAGGCTTTATGTTTTTAGCTACTGATTTTTTATTTCACCGGAGTCAAAAAAACAGTATATTAATATCTGTTGACTTCAAGCTGTCTTTCGCGTTAACTGGCACCGCTTGCATGAACTGCTGAATTTTGTTCTCGGGATCATATTTTTTGAGAAACAAATCATAATCTTCCGGGTGTTGGAGTTGGAGATGCTGTATATAGCGTTTCGCATCAGAATGTTGCGTTTCAGTACATAGAGAGCATAGGTATTTTATGCTCTTCGCAATTACTCCTGGAAAATCAAACGCGTAAAGTTAGAAATCAATTCTAAGCAATTGAAAGGAAGTAAGCTTATTCTGAGCTTGCAAGTAGAACTAAAATTGTATAAAATTTTTTACAAATAATTTCAACAGCTCATCTACTCTGGCTATTAAATTTAGTCTGGTCAGTGACCTTAACATAGTAACAGGCTTGCGTAAGCTAAAAGATTGTCTCTAGTTATGGGTTCCTCACTGTTGTATCCTTCTTTTGATATTTCAGATCAATTTCGCTCTTCTTGGTCACGGGTTGACTGCCAAGCTGTAGTTAAATCGTGTTTATCTTACTACCCTTATCGCTATTTCTTGTGGTATTATCATTGTTGCCTACTATTTCTTCACACATTTTAGTATCTACACGTGAAACTGAATTGGAACAGTCCGGTACAGTGTAGATAGATATGTTTTTACCCAAAGTTGTCAACTGATGCTTGCCAGTGTACCTGTAACTCCACTCCGAATTATAAGGGGAATAATAGAATAGTCAACCATGTTAAAAAATCTGTGAATAATAATTTTGACACAGATTATATGATATGATAACTAAATTAAATTATTACGTAGGAAATAAAACTATTTTTCCGGATTGAAATCGCGTATATTTGTTTTTTCAAACAAACCGACGTTTCGGGTCCTTTACAGGTCCCATGGTCACGGTTGAACGTCGGTTTGTTTGAAAAAACAAATATACGCGATTTAAATCCGGAAAAATAGTTTTATTTCCCATGTGTAACAATCGCGAAAACCTAAGAACTCGATAAATTATTACGATTAAAAAAAATACGAATATTCACGTAAATGTCATGTAAACTGACGATGAGTAGTATACGATTGTCCTACATTTTACCCACTGTTCAATTACTCTGAACAAGCTCAAAATTTATATTATTTGGCATACCGAAAAAACGTGCATTTGCATGTTCATATTATAGTGATATAATATGAACATGCAAATGCAAATAATTTACAAGGTCCGCGGGATGCGGGATAGGAGATGCTTTTTACATATCATCATCACAACATAATTTCAAGAACTTTCATTTACAGTTCGATATGAAAGATCATGTTATGTCTGCTGAAGTTATAGTAGATATTGATTTACATATTTACGTTTGACTGCTTTGCCACGTTCAGTATTGCAAGGACCTCTGTCAAGGAAGCAGTCAGTAATTTCTTGAACAAGCGTTTCGTTCTTGATAAAATTATCAAATTCTGTGGGGATGTAGATGTTTTGCGACTCAGATTTTCGATGAGACTGATGTTGGGCTAACATTCTTGCAGGTTTCTTTGTAGGTGACTTCGATGAAGGTTTAGTTGTGGTTTTTGCTTTTGAAGGTGCTTTAGGTACAGCTATTTTTTTTGGATGCGCTGTTGTTGTTGCAACTACTTTCCTTCCAGGCACTGCTGTTGTTGTAGCAGCTTTTTCAGCAGCTGCAGTTGTTGTTGATGGCGCTGTTGAAGTTACGGAAGCTTTTTCCGTCGTCGTTGCGGCTGTTGGACAGAATAATTTACATTGTTTAAGTGCAGTTGTCTTCATTGAAAATTAAACACGTAGGAGATTGCACCGCTATCAACATCATTATGGGTGCGACCTATCTAAAAAATAGTTTTACTGTGGTCTTACTAACTTGCAGATTAAGTTTTCAGAAAATTACTTAATCAGTTTCTGTTAATCTTATGATTATCATCTTTAGTTGTTATGATTATTAGTTTTTACTAAAAAAATATTTTTATATGTTTTTATGTAATTGCTGACTTTTAGTGTTATGTTTTAAATCCATGCTTACCATTAGTTATAGCGCTGTATGCTATCAAAGAAACTATGAAGAAGGGTAGATAATTCATGACGAATTATGCTACGCGACCTGAAAATAGTCAACATATAAATTTTTACAGCAAATACTGTTATTTTTTATGAAATGCTCTACTACAAGATTACTGTCTGCGATCCTTTAAATAATTTAATTCTGAGTTCATACAAAATAATAAAAAAGGAAAATTAAATTAAATAAAAATAATTGAAGTGGAGAATTTTATTTAAGACTATTTCAGGTTGCGTACGTTGTGTGCTTTAAAATCTCTCTAGAAAAATCTCTCTGAAAGAACTAACTAGACAATATTACCTAACAGATTTAAAACATCTGCCGTATGTTAAGAAATATTTGATAGAAATGTTTACTTACAGAAGCGTTTATTGTCCAGAAGTGTTAAATTTACTTTGGATATAATTTTTAATTTGGTAACATTACCGCAATCAAACTCCTCTTGTATTTTATTGCCTGTTAATAATGTTTGAATTAATTGAAACCAGTTAGAAATAATTAAGATTTTAATTAAGTTTAAAAGTGTGAAGTGTGTTATGTTTGAAATTTTGTTTGTTTATTTGAGTTATGTTTTTGTTTTGAGTATTTTGAGATTTAATATTTTTTTTATTGTCACTGGTATGAGTTTTGTAGCAGTAGAGCTCCTTGTGAAAGAGTTCGTCCAGGGAAGTACTGCCACCTTACCCTATTCCTGCTGCCAAGCAATAATGTGAGCATACTGCATTCCGGTTTTGAAGGTGCTAGTGAAATTACCGGCACTTACAACACTTATCAACTTATGTCTCAGGGTGACAGGCGCAGTAGGAATACCCTTCAGATCTTTGCGATTTAAAGCTCTGAGTGACACTGTAACTGTTATGGACAGGCATCTAGCTTTCCACCACACTCAACGTCATTTGATATTATGCAAAAATTAAATAAAATATTATTTTTATGAGACGAAAACTCTTGTGGCTATAACGCTCCTTGAGATATTAATCAATCGTAGTTATTTTTTTCATAGTTCTACTCATTTTTGTATATAATACAAATATCAGTCTCGGTGTAATAAGGCCACATGTACAAAATAACAACTTAACGAGGTGAGTCACCGGAGGCGAAGCGGAAAAAACTGTTTTGCTAAATCAAATGGTTTACGTATTTACTATTAAATAACGGTCTTACAAAAATATACTATACACCTAAGGACATTGTCTAAAAATGTGCTAATTTATTATACGATGGGATATACTTTACCCGATTATATGAAATCCTGAAAACCGGCTAAAATAAAAGTTTAAACCGTTAATTTTTATATTTCTCTTTAACTTCTGCTAAATTTTGGTTTTCAATTGAAGCAATTCTAAAATTTTGGCTGAATGTGAATTTAATGACAATTCACATTCAGCCCAAAATTTTAGAATTGCCCGACATTTAACGACACGCCGCGCCGCCCGTTGTCCCGTCAGTCGCCATCGGGCGCTGGTCAGTGCACACACGCGTGTGTATACATGCACACACTCATAGCCTCGAACCGGGGAAACCCTATGTCGCGGGTACCATGGTTGGACACACACAGACAACCACAAACTCACGAGAGATATATAAATGTAAGCCATGCAAATATTTCTCGCGCCCCGGGAATCGAACCCGAAACTTCTGCGTGCCAAATCAGCATGGTAACCGTTCGGCCACTGAGGCAGTTTATTTCTAATAGTTCGGCATTGTTGGATGTGTGTTTTAATTTTCTCCGTCTGTTCTTATTTTATTCATATTAATTTTCAGCGCGTGGATTGCGGTACGCGAAGTTGGCCCCCACACATCACCTCCTAAAATCTAGGCTCGCATTCAAATACCTTACATCAACGAACGAAATTACTTAAATAAGACAGGCTAACGGTTGCATGTATTACATGTGTTCGAAAAAGAGTGAATATCTACATTTCATTGCACGCGACTACACTAAACATAATTTATGTCAAGACGGCCAGCAAAAGCACAATGGCAAGCTAGTATGACCACCAATAAACGGCCTAAAATTTCACATGTAATATTGTACATAATTTTTACATGTAGTTCGTATTATTTTATTGTGATAAAAGCATTATTGACGTGTGATCACATGCGGCTTTATTATATTCATTATACCAAAGGTACAAATATTTGAAGAATTTCGGGTTCGGAATCACGTGGTTCAAAACAATCTGAGATCGGCTAGTATTTACGATGTTACATCACTTGGCCCATAAAAGTAAACGAGCGAGCGAGCCCTCTCTGAGCCTGCGGACGTGCGTAACACCAAGTTGCCCTACCATCTGCTGTCGCACCATTCTGTTCAGTGCATTTTGAACGGTCGATTTCTAGGATACAACTAAAATAATTAAACATTTTCTTTCTCCGTTTCAAATTAAAAAAAAATGTGGCTTTATTAAGCCACATCTACAAAATGAAATGTGGCCTTATTAGGAGATCCTCATAAGGCCAAAGAGCCAAAAGTTGTCGTTTTGCATCTGCACAACTTTTCAGGATTAGATCAGGATAGTTTTAAAGATTCTGCAAACGAAATTAGTCATTAACTTTTATCCTTAAATAAGAGAGTCATAAAATTTGATATATTTTGTTTCACGAAGTTTGTATTCTTTTCGGCTCGATATCCCCTAATTATGTCATAGCTTTTTTTTGTGGCTTTATTATTATTATTATTATTTTATTAAAAACTAAGTGCGAAAACAATTTGACTTCCATCTCACTTGATGGAAAGACAATGAAGTCGACGATGGAGCATGCACACCTAAATAATGCCTATTCACTCTCGCCTTGAAAGGTCCAAGTTGTAATATTTAGGGAACAAGTCTGCAGGCAGAGAATTCCACTCCATAGCCGTTCGCCATATAAATGTGGAAGCGACACGCTTCGTGCGAATTCTTGGAATATGCACAACAGGGATGGGACCCCAGCCTACGACTGGTCCCCCGATGATGGAAAGGGGAAGGCGGAATTAATGCGTGTAATTTCCTCGCACTCTCCGTGATATATATCCTGTAAAATACCGATAAGCAGGTAACTTTACGGCGGCGTTCAAGTCTTTGCAGCATCGCCTCTGCTAATTCTGAGTCACTTATAAGCCTCCTGTCACGCTTGTCAATTGCATCCAAGGTTATAATGGCTAATGGCTAGGGCCACTATTATCGAATTTTCAACTATAATGCCACTTTAAGGTAAACTTTAAGGTACATTATCTTCGTCACCTAAAAATCCTCTGCTAAGCCTTTCCTTCAGTGGGCGCTGGGTCTTATAGTGCATAGATATAGGTACTCGGGTATCTCGACTTCATCATATCGTTGGATTTTTCAGTCAACTCATGTCTCCGTCTGGTCGTCATCACTGCTCATCACCATTACCGTTTTTTATTAAAGGTTTTGATTAAAAAAAACCATATGAGTAGTAGTTTTTACTCAAAGAGGATAAAAGAAAAAGAAAAGATTTAAGAAAACCAATTTTAATTTCGATATCTCTTGGTCTTCAAAATTTGTAGACAGACAAACAGATAAATAAGTAAACATTTCTTCGCTAATATTGCACGGGTACTGTCAAGAGCACATAAAATTTGACACTTTGGTATTCATCAATTTAAATATTAAGTGACATACTTGACGTGCTCTTGACCTTGTACACAAGTAAAACACATTTCACGGTTGCAGGGTGCAGCCAGTGAATAGCTATAGAAGACGGAAAATCAGCAAAGATGGGTCTTAATTTTAATATATTTAATGTTTCGCTTATACAATGGTGTACGTGTTTTGTGGATAAATATAATTTTTTGTTTTTTTATTTCTTTCAATTTGTATCAAAGCAATGAAACAGCGCTAACTTAGCATATGTCTAAGTTATCTAAGGTGCTGGTTGGAAATTTCATTCATAAAGACAATCGAAAAATAAATATTTGCTCATTTTTTTGGTTCAAGACGTGCCTTTCTCTTAATACAACATTGAACCTTATGTACTTGAACTAAAGACGGTTGTGGAAAGGTCTGCAAGGGTTTGTAAATAAAGCCAAAGTATACAAACCAAATATCGTGTGCAGACGCCACCAACGACCACCCAAGTTGATGTTTTTGCACGAAGCGTTGGTTGACAAGATTATTTTTAAAATTAACTGAAACTAAAAGTAAATAAAAATATATAAATGTAAATTTAAATTTCGTAAAAATACTATTGCGTAAAGCGTGTAATTGCATCAATGTAAACTTTTTAAATTTAGTTATAGTTTACCATGAATAAATAGAATAAAATAAATAAAATGTGCGTATTTTATTGTACCCGTTTTAACAGAATAAAATAGCATAGGTATTTCGTGTATTTATTACCCCGCATATTAACGAAGTAAGTTAAAAAACATTACATAAATTTTAATTTAGCATTGCATTGCACTGCCGTGCTTGTTTGAAATCATTATACTTAGTCATATTGTTCATATCGTAAGCACGGCAGCATAATAAATTAATTAATTATAATTGCCATCATTGATTCTACTAACTTAGCCCATAAGATTATAGTTGCTAACAAATATTTAATTAAAATGTGCGTAATTTTTTTTAAATTCATTATAGAGTTCCTAAATGTCACCGACTCAGAAACAAATAAATTTCCATAAAACAAGTCCAAATACAAATTCTTTTTTCTAAATTTCTAAGATGTTATAACATTAAAAAAAATCATGTTAAACGTTTCCCCAGAAAAATAGTAAATTCGTTGTATTTACAGTTATTTATTTCCACATGTGCTATTTATCGTACATGAAAAAATACTGTCATAACTCAAAAATCATGGAATTGAGAAAACGCGATTAGAAAGTTCAAAAAAATTACTGAATAGATTTTATTGCGAAAAATTGCATTTGTTCTTATTTATACATAATATTTATTTGTCTACTTATCAATTATAATTATAATTACTATATAAAATTTACTGGTTCAGTAATTTTTAAGTTTTTAAGTTATAAGAGTATTTGGTTTCATGTGCCATATAGTATTGAATAAAAAATCAATCGACCAGACG